TCAAGCATTGAAGTTGAGGCATGAGTAAATTCCATTTATTTCTCTGTTGATTTGTTCAATTAAAAGTTTGGCTAGAAATCCAGTTGCAAAACGATAACAATATCAAGCCATGATGTTCCAATTATCGGGGATCGACTATAATTTTTTATTTATCATGATTGAATTAAGTAAAAAGTAATATCTTTAGTTGAATTAGGAGATATTTACATCTTTATGTTTATAGTTTCTAGTAAAATCTTATTAAGTTACAAATTTTCTCATACCACTAAAATTTATTATCTTATCCATTCCGATGATAATATCTATAGACCTCATACTCATAGTACATACATGGTTCACCCATCTTAAATAATTTAACCTCATTTTATCCCTCCTCAAAGCTGCGTCCACCTAAATATATTCGTCTCAAAAACACAAACCTTTTTTGAATTATAAATGCAAGAGAATGCAAAAGATAATTTTGATGGTATATTTCATTATTTTGCATATCGGTATATATGCATTTTGGTCTATTATGTAAGCATGTTCGAGTTGATGTTCTTAGGGAAGTTGCAATAGAAGCTATTGAATTTGAAGTCTTTCTATGTGGGTTGAAGGCTGAAGCATCACTAGGCTGGAGAATAGCAGCTGCTTTGTTTCATGATGACTTCATTTTATTACTAACCACACAAAAAACAAGATCAGCATTCAAGTGATCTTAACTCTACATAGAAGATTTGAATAGATTAATAGTGGTTTGATGGATCTACTATCATTTATGTTGAGCCTAAGCATGGTTTATGCTCAACAAAATTAATTGATCAGCTTTTGCATCAAGTCGAATTCAGATAAATATAATATACTCCTAATATGTTATATGATATGGAATTCTTAGCTAATGAATTGATAATAAAATATTAACTCAGAGAGAAATGAGAATTCAAAAGACTTGAGAACAATTAAGTCCAAGAATAAGCAAAAGGGATTCATCCACTTAGATCCCTCCTTCCTCAAAACTCAGGAATGTGAAGTTTCAAAACTGAATTTTAATTTATTTTCTATATTTCATCTTCCACTCTCATTATTAGCATTAAAAAAAATTATTTTAGTGACTTATCTCTTTTATCTAACAGTTATTTGTCTTGGTATTGTAATACACACCTTTTGCCAAATCATTTTTTTTCGTTAATTTCGAAACATCAATGTCAGGATCATTGTGATTTATTCTTAAACAGGAACTTGTGACTATGATTATGACAGTAATATAAAGGCATCTTTGTCAGCATAACTATATTAGTACAGCTTCACAACTAAATATGAGCTTTGTCAATAACATTTTTGTTGAAGCTTCAATCTTAACATAGTGATATCAGATCCCTATTTTGGCCTCTTTTACAGCATTGCAAGGAGTCCCAACTTTACATCAATGTAGTTCCTTATCATCCCTTACCAATTGGTTAGGTGACAATATTAGTTTAGACATCATTTAAGAACTAAGGCTGCCATTAGATCATGATTAAGTTGCACAGATCCTATGCTTTCCCTTTAAGGAACACAGATTTAAAGAACACCAAAAGTAAACTAAAGCTCCAGCTTTAGTGTCTTAAGGTCAAGAAGCTTACTCTTTCTTTTAGCAAAGAGATGCAGAGAAGGTTCTCAAAACTAGACATCAAGGTTACTCAACCAACTCTCATCATTCTACTACTACTATAATAGAGAATTTTGTGCTTCTGATAGGGATCAAGGATCATCACTATAGCAACTGATCAACCTGAAACACCACAGAGAGTAACATTGGGCTTGAATCGGATCCAATCCAGCTTTAGTTTAAGTCAGAATGTTGAGATTTGCTTAGCACAGGTGTAGAACTCAGCACTCTTGCCCATTTCTCCAGTGCAGAAGACACTAACAAAGTGAGCTCGAATACATGACCATCAATTCAGTATCAACTATAACCAACAAGAAAGCTGAAGCTATGCACACATCAGAGCATGATTGAAGAATCTTCTTTTAGAGGATTAGGTCAATATTCTGGTTTGAGAAGGTTCAGGAATGGTCTAAAGGCACCTTTCTGCTACATTAATGCTTGTTTTCTAAGCTGGAATTTGAAGGCTGAAACATTCAAACCTAAGCAGTAGCCAATCTTAATTTTCCAAAGTTTTGACAGAGTGGATACAATGCAGAAATATGATGGAGCAGCTGGATTCGGTGTCTGTTGTTTCTCAACTCAACCAATGAACAAAGAAGAGGATGCATCTCATTATACATGCAGCAGTTTTGCATAAAGAATCATCTTCCATGGAGGGGGTCGACTGCACCTTCGGCCATCATGGCAGAAAGTTCAGAAACATCTCCTTCTCCCTTATTGCCACAAATCTTTTAATGGTTGAAGCTATGATTCATGAATCCCTTTTGATATGTTTAGACTATGAGGTCCCCAATCGATTCCTTCCCTCTGCTCAAGAATGGGTGGTGGCAATGATCCATTCCATCTTTAATCTCATTCTAAAAGATAAATCTGCACACTGCATGTCTCCCTTTTCCTGGGTAATAATTTCCTGTGATCTTTACTTAAAGGGTGCCACAGCTAATTCCTTGGTAGTATAATTGTGGTGCTGATCATGTGGAGAACCTGGTTCTTTCAGAGATGCATAAATACTCTATTGGAGGAGGGAATCATCAATGTCTTGTAGATCTACTCCTTCCGTGTATATATTAGTAGATAGAACTCAATCCGTTGCCCAAGGTAGACCCTGCTCGGTTGAATGGATGCAGATGTGGAAACGATGGGCTCCCGTCAACAGATGGATCTTCTTTCTCATGCATGGTGCAACTCGGCCATCCAGGTCTTCCAGCCATCCGTCGATGATTGCCCGAACGCGTTCAAAGAGAGACAGATTGTGGCATTTGAGAATGATAAGATGGTGAGTAGATCCGTTCATCTTCCCATTGTTGATAAAACCTGTCATACGAATTACGACAAGGAAAGCCCTGTGCAGCTGCAGAAGAGCGATATGAGCTTAATAGTGGATGAAGGAGATCTCAGGTCGACTTCGCAACTGAAATTTGATGATCTGAAGGTGCAGAAATCGATAAATTTACGATATGGAAATTAAACTCCTTTTGTACTGATCAGATGTTGTTCATTCTCTCCAGTCATGGATATGGCTGCAGAAGGCAATTCACCCAGAACTGGACTATGATCTCTGCATGAGAAAGAAATGGGTACATCCTTCTTCCTCATCTTTCAACTTGGAATATAGCTGAATTTTATGTTGAAGTTATTGTTCGAAGCAAATGCATTAGGACATGATTCTGCAACAAGTTTGCAATGTTTGTGGAACAAAGAACCCAAGAAGTTTTCCTTTGGCAGTTCTCCAAGAACATTATACCCTGGAAGGAGATCTCAATAAGGAAGTGGTTGAAGGAAATGAAGCAGAAGCGGAAGGAAGAAGAACGGCTGCAGAGAGCAGAAGTGCACGCAGCCATATCGGTTGCAGGAGTGGCAGCCGCACTCGCAGCCATTGCAGCAGAAAACTTGGAAGCTAATCAACACAAGTCTTTGAGAGACACGGCGGTCGCGTCCGCCGCTGCCTTGGTCGCAGCTCAATGTGCACAGGTTGCAGAAGCCGCGGGTGCCAAGCGCGAGCAGATCTCCTCAGCCATCGATGCAGCGGCAACTGCTACAGATGCAGCCAACATCTTTACTCTCACAGCTGCTGCAGCGACATGTACCACCACTCAGCAGCGCTGATCCTGATCTACTCGACAACTGTTAGCTTCTGCAACCTGTTAACAATCTCTCTACATGTTTCAGCAATGAAGGGTGCAGCCACACTAAGAGGAAGACAAGGTCAGAGGCAGAAAACAAAGGGGAGTTCACCAGCACTTCTTTGCGATGACTTTGGCTTTGACCTCGGGAGGTGCAGAGCATCACTTGCCAAGGGGGATGAGATCCTTGTTGCAACAGAAGATGGTAAATGGCATGTTCTAACATGCACTGCACATTTTGATCATGTCTACCAAATTCCATACCCACTATGCATTATTTTTGCTTAAATAGTTACTCTCTTCATGATTTTGATCAGGTAAATGCAGGTTGAGATCAGTCTCAGCCATCTTAAACAGGGATGCGAAGGTTGTCCTAAGAATCAAGAAGACAAATGCTCTCATGGTCTTCTCCACTGCAAAAGAAAGTAAGTTAAATGTCTCCAAACCAAAAAAACAGAGATTATAGGCTCATTACAGTGTCAATTTCCATCTAATCAGGTGTTGTATATGAATTGGATACAAACCCCCTTGAAGAGCCTAAGAAGGAAGCAGATGGATCGTATTGCATTGGTATGCAAACAAGCCAAGGGAAGATCGAGCTCAAAACTGATGACTATGTGCAGTGCAAGAAATGGCTCACCACCATAAACCACATGCTGATGCTCTCTTCAACACTCAGCAGGAAAGAACTACACCTAATAAGAACTAGCAGGTGTTCTCAGAATGCAGGAACACGTTGATTATTTTCCATCTTCATATCAGTACTTGAAAAGAGTGAGTAATCTCTGATGTAATTTGCAATCTACTGCACACATGTGAGAATGAATTCCTTGTTTCTAATAAAAATCCATCTTAGAAGATCTTCAACAACATTCCTGAAAGCATGCTTGACAGCATAGATCAAGGCAGGTTATCTGCTGGGTAATGGGTAGTGTGTGCAATGGATCCAAGGAAAAGCCATATCATCACATATTTATGGTGTGGACAGTATAGATTATGGATATCAATTTGGAAATCTTTTAAATCGGGCCTATAATGTTTGGAATTGTGATGTATAAGCAAAGTTTAATCTTTCTTCTTTATGGAATTTCCATTGTCCTGTGATGATAAGTTGAAGCTGTAAGCTGTTCTTGAAAGCTCTATCTATCTTCTCCAAGTATTCGGAACCTCTACTGCAAATAGTGTTGTGCAGGTGGATGGATTACTTTGTTATTCCATTGTTTAAATGGCCCTTACCCACTCATTGTGGATGTCACCTTTCTCTCTCTCTCTCTCTCTGTGTCATCACAGCCAACAACTATTGGAGTCTCTCCGACTTCTTGACGAAGAAGACCACAAGTCCTCCTCCCTCTTTCTTGTCATATCTCAACCCGGAGAACCGCAAGATCGCTCACTGCGCATCACCATGGGCTTCAGCTCCAAAGCCATGGCAGCCTCGTCTGATCCCCTTGGCGTCCTCCAAATCCTTTGGGAGTCGCTTCACCTCCCCATCAAGTCTGGTCAACTCTTCTTTCCCATCCTCCTCCTCTCCCTCCTCTCCTCCTCCCTCCTCTTCTTCTGCTACTTCTCCATCGCACCCATCCCCCTTGACTTGGTTTCCAAGATCTCAATCCTCCTTGAGGAAACAAACCACCGTCCTCCCGACCTCCTCCTCGACATAGAGAGAGACCTCAGGGATTTTGCTGGGCTAGCAACTTCGATCACGCTTTTCTTCTTCTTCTCCTCCTTGTTCCTTGTCCTGGCCACTCTCTACACCTTTGCTATGGCTTACAGTAACAGGAACATAACGCCTAAAGATCTCCTCCTCCGGATCGCTCGCCGTTGGTACCAGACCATGATCACCAGGCTCTACGTAGTCCTCCTCACCGCCGGCCTCGGGCTCCTGTCTTCGCTTGGCGTTGGCACCGCAAAATTGGTCTCCGATGGTTCCAGCGCTGCCTTCAGCTTTGGCCTGAGCCTAGCAGGCCTCTTGCTTCTTCTGTATCTTTACCTGTTGACCCGGTGGTCGATGAGTCTGGTGATCGCTGCGGTGGAGGAGACGTGGGGGATCGGCGCACTCTCGTGGTCGGTAGAGCTCTACATAGGCAATAAGAAGCGAGGGATTGTTCTCACCCTCATGCTGTTGGCCATCAAGGTGGCGATCTACGGAGCATTCGCGGCTGTCATGATGGCATCGGGGCCGCCTCAGCCGACGGAGGCACCGATGGCGATCGTATACATCGTCGCAGCGGCAGATGCCCTGTGGGACCTGTATTCAATGGCTGTGTACACAGTGTTCTACTATGAGTGCAGGAAGAGCCATGGCTTGGAGTATACTGGCTTGCATGCTGCTTTGGTGAGAGTCAATGCAGTAGTAGTACATTGAGATGGAATCTACTAAAAGGAGTTGGTGTGTGTGTTCATCGCTCCTTTTGTTCTCTTGTTATAGCTCATTTTATATTCTCAATATGTCAAATAAATAATTGTTTGAGTATCCATAGTCCTTCAAAATGATGTCTTCTTTGATGTTTCTGCAGTACACATTGATTATTGGCAAACACATAAGTATTTAATTAGAGTTTCTCTCATAGCAATGCTGATACGTAAACGATACAAGCATTCGAGGGAATGTACATGTATTTACTAACAATCTATAGGGTAAATATATTATTTTGTGAACAATGAGAAAACTATAACGCGAATATGAATTCCCCTAAAAGCCCGTACTTTTGAAAATTTTTCACTCCTACTTTGAAAAATTGGCATAGAGCCTTCGTTCATGTCTAATTCATTATCGTTATATTCTATATAATCACATTATCCCAGATCAACGTAGTTCTCACGTAAAAAAAAAGGAAGCAACTCTTGTATCACATCCTTTCTCGTGTGAGGACTATGATTAACACACAGGGGCAAGACCGATAATGTCCGATAATAACCCTCGTGTCCTTCCTTTCTCGTCCAAGTGTAAGGTTGGCAGGGTTCACGCGAGAGGTCCGATATGGTAAAGTAAAATAATTATTTATCAAAAATAAATTATTTTTTAAAGTAGGGATACTTAGTGAAAATTTTTCAAAAATAGTAGTTTGTTTTTTTGGGGGGAGAATTCGCCGTATCGTGGATCCATTACAATGGACGGCTCCGATTAAACAGAGAGCTTTCTTATACCGTTTTTCGATCATCTCCTTGTCTTCCTCTCTCTCTCTCTCTCTCTCTCTCTCGATCTCTTGATCTAGTTTTAGGTTTTTCGATCCGCGACCTTCTCTGATCCCGCGAATGGATGCCTTGGATTCCGTCGTAGATCCTCTGAGGGAATTCGCAAAAGACAGTGTCCGCCTCGTCAAGAGATGCCACAAGCCCGATCGCAAGGGTGAGTTACGATCTGCAAGATTTGGTTTTTTTTTTTTTTTTTTTTGTATGCAGTAGATGTTACTCTTTCTATTGATTTTGATTGGTTGTGACCCGTTTGAGTCTGTAGAGTTCACGAAGGTGGCGATCCGCACGGCGATCGGTTTCGTGGTGATGGGATTCGTTGGCTTCTTCGTGAAGCTGATCTTTATCCCGATCAATAACATCATCGTCGGTTCGGGCTAGGTAAATTGATGATAATCCCTCTGTGTCGTCAATCTGAGTTGCTTGTTATGGATTTTTTTAGGACATAATACTTCTTTTTTATAAAAGGATTTAGATATTCTCTGTTGTGTTTCATAATGTTTGTATCTTCAGATTCTTAAATTGATCCTTTTTTTAATTTGGTAGCTTTAGTAAGATGATCTTTATTGCTGATATTCTTTCAATTGGGCATCCAATATGAACTTATTCTTCAGTCATGGTCTCAGTCGGTGAGGTGTCTTGGTCCAACAGGCTATCTTCTAACCCTAGTTTTCTAGTTGCTAGTATGTTTAAGTGGTCATGGTAACAGGTTAATAAATTATCTCGCTTCAAAAATTAGTTTTCAATGAAAGATATCACCCATGTGAAAGAACATATCCCCTTACGTAGGAAGGAACTGGCTGCCGATTCCATCTTCTTGATCTCCAATTTTGATGGAACATGCAATCTTGTTATGCTTTATTTAAAAATATTATGAGGATTTACAACTCTTTACGAGAATCTTTGAATCATATCTAGGAATTTGTTTATGCAGCACAAGGGAAGTTATACGCAGACTGGAAAATACTGGTGTTGTGTACCGATCTGCACAGTATACAAAACCATGGTTTCCATGTCTTGGAATTTCGATGAAGTGAAATTTTACCGAGCTCGTATATGGTTTCAACACCACATATAAAGTGCAAACTTAGTATCACTGTGTGGTTTTTGATGTACTAAATCCATTTCCTTGACACGAGCATCAATTCAATAATTTTTTAACTAACAAATAAGGGTATGGACTAAGGGTAGGATAATTTTTTTAATTTGAAAATAGATTAGCTTCCACGATGAGCTGCTTTTTTTGTGTGTGGGAAGGGTGGTATTGCATGAATGTACAACTAGAAGTTTAATGGAAATTACTAGTGCCTATAATTTGTTTTGCTAGTCATGCAAATGACAATTCGAAAAGAAAGCTGGATTTTCTTATGCATGTATGGCATGGGGAGCATGTTGCCTTATAATTTTTTTTTTAACTGATGCTTTAGGATCTTGCATAATTATACTTCCTTCATTGGAAGTATAATTATTTTACAATGTTATTATTTTAGTGGAATTTTATATGTTGTGCTTTAGTTTGTATGATTTTTTTTTCTTTATTGTAATAACTCACTTTCCTGATCAAATCTCCGATATGACGTCTTGTAATATGTTTGTTTATGTCATGAGGTGTTTCTTGGTACATTTTAAGAGGATAATGACTAGAGATGAATATGTACCTCTCTTTCGCACTTTTAATTATCAACTATTTATCAAAAGGAGATTTTGTGCATGATAGAGTTTTTAATCTGGGAGCAGTAGGATAAATATCTACTCTTTGGATGCTGGTAGGCCCTCGTTATTCTCATCTTTCTCTTATTACCATCATATCATTGTCAATCTAGCACCAGATTGCCTAATATTTTAACCCAAGATAAGTCTTTTTTGGGGGGAGTTTTGAGCTTGACCCACTTGGCGTTGTAGTTGTGAATCACAAAATCTTACATATTTGAATAGTTATCTGTCATTATGTCTGCATCAACTTAACCTCTGTGCACTCAAATGAAATGACTCATCCCAGAGATGGATGCTGAAAGCAGTCCAGTTTTATTCGATGATGTTTTCTTGTCGCAGGACTCGCGCTTGAATTTTCGGGACAAGCATGAAGTTTATATCGACCGAGAAATCGATTTGTCGTCTTTGGCATTCTTGACTCGCCGCAGCTTTAGCATCAAAGGAACAAACAAAGATATTTTATTTTACTTTTTCGTGTATGCATTTCTAATTTCATAATTTTTGCTATTTTTTCCTGTTTATGCCTGAAATTTACTGATGTAGACTGATATATCATCTTTGGTCAAGACAAAGTGTTGGTTGTTCTAGTTCCTTAAGAGTGAGATTCACCATATACTCATGTGGTGATTAGGCATGAAGCTCCCCACATACTCGAATGCGCCAAGAACCTATTATGGAGTGGGTTGTCAGGTGACGATGATGTTGTGCTCCTTCAGTTTTCAGATATATATTTTCTCATAGCAAATTGATTCGTTGCTTTGGTATAATATCATCATTCTTAGTTTGCAGGTGTATATTCTGATAGAAAAATGCTTGTGTTTCTTTGACAGTTCAGCTTCTTCTAACAAAAAATTCTTCTTTCCGAAACTTTCTCCTCACTTTATTTTCTACCACTTCCTGGGTACGTGGTATATACTGTATGTATGTACTCGTGTTGGTGCATCGAATCGTGTGCATAATCTACATTGAACTTGATGAACTTGATGAGGATATTTAGTTCTATATTGATTGATTTAGGAGTAGAAGAACCAAGAGTTTGTAAGTCCGTTGGGTCATCTTTACTTTCAAAGATATTTTTTTAGAGTTTATGAGCTCTAAAGGGATAAAATCATATGGGTACGTTTTCTGTCTAAAACAGATAATTCTTTACGAGATCATGGATTAACATGCTATCATTTTGGTCACATCCATTCTTTATTATACTCGTGAATAATTAGACAAATTTTCATTCGACTATAAACAATCAACTACTTTATTAAAATATCATGAATATATTTAATTTCATGTCTTCGCCATGACGTAGGTAAAACAAACCCTCTACGATCAACTCAAGTGAGAAATCAATCAACAAATCCAATCTTATTACCAAAATATGCTCAATTGCTGCAATAGATTTCACGATACAAAAATAACTTTTATCAAAGGACACTCTGCCTCAAAGCATGGACAAGTGGCCACCGTTATGTCAGTGTCTTATTCGGCGACAGGCTGGACTGTGAGTCCGTTTGCGCCCCGCCTGAAGAATAACCCGGTCTTGTAAACGGGTTGCATGACCACAAACCCGCTATTGACCAACTCCGGGCCCTAATTTTTGCGACACGAAGAGCAAGTCCACCGCACTAGGGATTCAGCACCACCGCCTTCCTCGGAGCTTCGCCGCTGCCGGGGCTTCAACCTTCCCGCTAGGAACAGTGTGTAGAATAAAAAATGTGGAATCTTGCCAGGGTATCGGGGAATCTGCGGCAGTCTCGAAGTTTCCTCGGTGATTCATTCGCCCATTTCTGCTGCTCAAATCGGTCCCTCGTTCCTTAAGGTTACGATAGTTTCTGTTTAGATGGTTTTTTTTGTCATTATTTATGAAATCAATTCGTGTGTTTAGCAGGGAGGTTTGCTTTCCACTACATGTAGAGGTTTTACCACCCTCGAGTCTCAAGAAAGTGCAGGTGTAATCCCACCGGAGCTGCTAACGACTACTACGACTGTGCTTAGGCCGGATCGTGATATAGGTAGCTATTATTTGGGGAAGTGCCTTTTCTTATGCTTATTGCTGATCATATCGTATTTTTTGTCGTCAACTTGTTTTGTTGCAGTGTCCATTTTGCTGCATTGTTATCGCTTTTTTTTTTTTTGGTAGTATTTGCACATCATTTTTCTTCCATCGTGATTTTGCTGCATGTAATAGCGGCTAAGTTGCATATGATGCTTACTGATGACTTAGTCTTGATTAATATATATTTTGGAAACATAGCTATTCATTGAATCCTTAATGTAGATAATAGGCGGTGTCTAAGCTACAAGGTAAAGTCAGAGAGAATTTTTTTGCTGATATTAAACATAAAAACTAATGGAGAGAAGAGGATAGAAGATGCAGGAGAAAAGAGAAGTTGTTTAGATTACCGTTTCTCTCCATTCCTATCCAATTTCGCTAATTCTGAAGAGTAGAAAAAAGGTTCTGGGAGAGAATTGGATTCTCCTCACTTCTTTCTAATTTTCCTCCTACTTTTGCTTCTAAATGGAGAATGTTCACTTCTCTTCTCTCCAGCTGTCCTCTTTGCCCCACTTCACTCCATCCAAATGACTCTGGTTGCTCATGAAGCAAGTTATATTCTTTTGTGGGTAGCTGTGTCACGATGGCTTTGGTGATGTCTCCTACTTCTGGACATGTTCCCCAGATAGTGATCATGTCCTTTATAATCAGCAACCAGTCACTTGTAATTATCTATGTCAGATCATTTTACACGTAGTGAATCTTCCATTGGGATTTCAATTGCTTTTTTATTCTCTGCCACCTATTAGCATTAGTATGCATAATATTTTGATCTAGAAGTGCTTCAATAGTTAAAGAAGATTTTTTTTTTTCATTAATCTTCTGTTTTTCATCTCCTGTGAATGTGTTTGTCCTGTAGGGCAATACGCAGACCTAGTTACTAGGGTGACAAATTTTCATGGTGAGGATAATGGCTTCATGGTTTTGGCTGGGGATGTTTTTGATGTGCCGATTAGAAAGGATATTATCCACCGTGTTGTAAGGTGGCAGCTTGCTAAACGACAACAGGTAATCTACAGTACTCATGCTTCTAAATTAGTTGCACATTAGATTGCTGATCGGTCTTGATATCATTATTTAATATACATAGTATTTCTCATCCCAGGACATGATTGTTGTGGATTTAATTTGGAATATGAAAATTTCACTTTTTGATGACATTTTGTTGATCAAATTATCTTTTTCTATTGGCATTTGATTTACAATAATGCAACAAACTAAATAAACCTTTATGATCTACTCTCAGGCTGGTTGGTTGGGTGGATTTTAAGGGTACTACCTGCAAATAATTCAAGGTTGTTATTTACTTCTGCAAATGCTTTAGGTCAAATTCTCTGGAGTCCATGACTTAGTTTGTATCAATTTTTGTTACCTGGTCTTAAAATATCTTCTTTTGACATGCTCGAGTCACTCAGATAGCTTTTCTTTATCTAATCTCAATTGATCCTGCCTCTAATGTACTGTCAGTCTGAATGCTTATTGGTCTTTTTCTCCCATGTTGCTTTCAAACTGGTCAATATCAATAAAGCAAGCTAGTCTTATTTTTTGGTCTCGTAAATTATGGGGAATACAACTATACACCAGATGCACATCTTTGTTTTGGGCATTCTAGTGTTGTTATCTGAGCAATATCAATCCAATAGTTAAGTTGCAGATCCATGTTATGGAAGTTATGTTTTGTGATGCCTATTTCACATATTTCATGTTTAACACCCATTTCTTTGGTTATTAGTTCAGAATGCATTTGCTGAGTATGCTATTCTCATTACTGAAGCATCCATGTTATATACTCTTAGAACCATCTATATTTGGATGAGGCTCAATCATGAGAATACTAGCAAGTTACAAGTTTACATGCTAGATATGTATTATGAACGATGGAGGATGCGTATAAATCTATTAATAAAAATGAAAATAAATTGCACTTTACTGAATCCTTATATGGCATGATGCTCATTTGCTTGTAAATGGATCACTCTTGTAAGATCGTTCGTTCCCTTTTTTTATTATTGCGGTTGAATCTTTACTGGATACTAGATGTTTTGTCTAATGAGAGGAAATTGTTTATGTAAATCGGGAAGAATAGTACAATGTAAGGTTCGTCATAGCATGACATATCGCTCGGTATGGATGGTACATACCGGTTTGATAGGGGATCAGGATGGACGGTACATACTAATCTGTCAGTACACTCCACTGTATAATATGTCAGTATGTTTGTATATACTGTACCAATGACTGGTCGGTATATCAGTACAAACCGGTAAGGCGAACATGGTACTTTGGTCAGTTCACAAATTTGCATATATTTTCTGATAAGCCTTTTAAATTTCTAACCTGCAGAAGTGTCTCTGTTTTGTTTTTGTGTTTTTCATGCAAATGTATATTTTTTGTCAATAGCGAGTTGAAGCATGCACATATTGAATATAAAGATTTGCAGCATGGCCTGTATTATCAAAACTGAGACATCCATATTGGTTGTCTTTAGTTTTCTGTTTAGGACTAATTTATTGGACCATTTTTGTTTCACATCATCATATATTATTTATATCAGGGTACACACCCGATGAAAACTATTAGAGAAGTAAGTGGGACAGGTAAGAAACCGTACAGGCAAAAGGGAACTGGAAGAGCATGACATGGGACTTTGCGTGGACCTCAGGTTACTAAAACCTTTAGCATCTGCTGTATCAGGCTTGACGCAAACCTATCTGCCATCTTTGTCCTTTCTAATAGGAATAATCTAACCAAGTGCACATTAACAGTTTAGGCATGGTGCCACCATGCATGGGCCCAAGCCACGAAGTCATGCAATTAAGCTGCAAAAGAAGGTTCGACGATTAGGATTGAAAATTGCATTGTCAGCTTGAACAGCCGAAGGCAAGGTTAGTCTTGTCTTGCTTTTCTTCCCTCCATTCTTACATTTTAATCTTCTGAACTTTTAATGGTTTTATTCTTTTCCTATTTTGGATCTATATGATGAATTTCTGGTTAATCCTTTTGATCCTTTTTCCTTTAGCTCATTGCTATTCCTGTATGGTGTTAGACTAAAATTTCCAATAATTGCAAGATTTCTTTGATATTATGGATTTGAAATACCCACACTGCATTTACTGCAAATTAAGCTAAACTCACTGTTCCTGTTTAGAAGATTCATGGCCATATATGCAGGGTTGTTTTTTACCGAATATATTAGACAACTTGCATCCGTTTTAAATAATATATTAGCTGCTTTCATGTTGCTTCTTATATATATTACCTGTATTTTCTGACGAGGAACAATCCTACTGGGTATACTAAACAGCTTATAGTTTTCGAGGATTTGGCAGTCCCTAGCCAGTCAAAACAAAGAATATTGTAAATCATGTTGCCCAGATGGAAAACACAGAAGGTTCTATTGGTGGATGGTGGTCCTATAGATGACCAGCTGAAGTTGGCAACAAGAAACTTGCATTATGTGAAAGTGTTGCCATCAATTGCAAGTCCACATGGGTTCATACAAGTGAATATTGCAATCATGATCAACTGCACAATTGGTGAACTGGAGTTTGGTTTCATTTGGTTGATTCAAGTCTTTATATCTATTCATATTTTCATGTGCATGCAGGGCCTGAATGTCTATAGCATCTTGTTGCATGACACACTGGTGATGACTCGAGATACTGTTAGTAGGATAGTTGAGCGGATGCACACTCCCATTAATTGTTGATGTCATCCCAATTAGAGGAGGAAGAATTCATGCTCCAGCCATTGTAGGTATGTTATGGATGAAATAAACCACTGACTGATAGAGAATGAATTTAATTTGCTCTTTGATTTCAGTTTGAGCTTTGCCTAGTCAATTTAATGTACTCTCATCATATGCAAAGAACCTTCGTCCAAATTGACCTGCCATTTCTTTTTTGTGCTAGGACAGCCTACACTATTGGATGTGCCTGATGTTTTGGTATTTGCCTGCTTTAGTTGCCAAATGACTAGAGTTGGAAAAAGCAAAGAGACTTTTGTGTAAGCTTTCTTTCTTTTTATTGCAGCATCGTTGTAGGACGAGAGTGTTTTGCCTGCAATCTTGATTGAAGAGAGAGACAGAGAGCTAACAAATGTCCTGACATGACAATCCATGATTGGTTGGATACCCAAGGAACCAAACCAGGAGACAATATGCACAGTTTTAATTAACACATGCTGCCAGAGTTGAAGCACAAATGGTGTAAATCGCCTGCAATCTTGAGTGAAGAGAGAGAGAGAGAGAGAGAGAGAGAGAGAGAGGAAATGTACTGACATGACAACCCATAATTGGTTGGATACCTCCGCAGGCAACTTCATCACTTATCCAGATCAACCAACAGGAGTGGGGTGTTTAGCTGATCGGAAGCTACAGCAGGTTGTGATCATGGGAGATGTAGTTCTTTGCACTGCTAGTGACAGTATGAAAAGTTGTAATGTAGCAAAGATTTGAGAATTGTTTTGGTACTAGGAATCTACATTGTCTATGCAAAAGGACTCTAATCATTGCTATCAAACCATTGACACTGCAAGAATATCCATTTACTGAGAGAAAGAGAGCATATTATGGTACTCGTAGACGTCCAAGGACATGAGAAAACCCAGCTCGAGAACTCTTGTGGACCTGTCGATTTAGAGCAGAAGCAGAAGACGGAAAAAGCTGCGAGTAGGATTCATAGTTTCAGCGACAAGTCTATCTCCTCCGCAGTCTTGCCTTTGTCCTCCAAAGGTCCGTAAAACCCCCACCATTTCTGCTCGGTGGTCTCCCTCCAAGCTACGGTCGTCACCTTTCCGAGACCGACATCATGGCGGGAGTAGTGTTCTTTCATGAACTCCACCATGCTATGCCGGCCAAAGGCCGAGCCATCACCAACTCCCGCAAGACTCATGCCGGCATGCGGGCCGACTGCGGTGGGCATCTCCCTTCTCCTTTTCGCAAGGCTTCTCTCCAGCTTGTGAGCGTTCTGGTGGCCGCCCAGCGCTTGTGAGCTGTAGAACTTCCTGTTGCAGTAGTGGCAGGAGAAGAACCGTTGTGGCTCAGGCGGAGACATCGGCTGCAGTGCTAGCTCCAGGTTAAGATCATAGGCCTCTAATTCCACTTCCATGGAGAGAGAGAGAGAGGAGCGGATGAACAAGGAAATGTGTGTGTGGTTATCCCTTTAAGATGAATGAGTACAGAAAGTATCTCAGCTTGAAATGAGGAGGAAAAGGGAGAAAGGGAAATTAAACAAGGCGTGGCAAGAGAAATGATCGAGCGAAGGAGACAGGAACAGGAGAGAAGAGATCAACGTGTGGAAGCGGAAGGGGAGATGGGGGGAGTGGGAGAAGAGATCACCCCCTATTTATGGCTGCACCGGAGCTCCGCGTCGTGTCGGTACGTGGGCTAATGGCCTTCACCATTATTTGGTGCAGGAAAAGGTGACATGCCTTCTCTCCCGCTGTCTCCTTCTCCTCTATCGCTTCTTCACTCGGTCCCCCCTCGATTCCCTCCTTCATTTCGTCCCATCTCTCTCTCCTGGAAGAAAGTGCATGTGACCAAATAGATACGTAACATATGTGCCATCACATACACTGTTCAGAATCCAAGCATGCATGCACGGCCCAAATCTTCTCCTCACAAAAAGCCACCTGTTGGAACAAAAATCTAAGGTTCACACCCCTCACGCATTTGAGCTTCTGCATCACTTTGTGGTTCTTGACGAAAGCTACATGCTATCTATCATCTTTTCATTCGGGAAGGAAGACAAATCAGCACATGTTTCCTAAATGATTCTCGCATGAAAAAGGAAGGGTACGTATAAATCCCTGCAGTAGAGCACTAACCTTATCAGATATCATTCCCACACCGTATGGTTCGGATGGCTCGGTGGACGGAGTCATGCACATCCATCGTATGTCTTGGGCAACGTCACCTCAAGTGTCTCCGGCGGCACGAGAGCCACTCGGGTCGGGGGCGACGAGGGCCACGCCAATTGAGCTCGTGGATGAAGTAGTGGGGCCCAGCTTTCTGTGGCTGCGACGCCATCTTATGAACGACACGCACGCATCCTTTCCTTCCATCCTTCTTCTGGAGCGTCGGAAAAGGACCCCCGATGATGAGGCCGTGGGCGGCGCATACAACAATTCCGGCAGAGACATCGTTAACTATCAGCAGTAGTAGTAAGTAGATGATCCTCACATTATTATTTCATCGACTATAACACCGAAGAAAGCAAAAGAAAGGGAAGAAAACTCGCAACAACACAAGTCCACAAAGATTTACTCCAATCAAGTCAGCAAATTACGACGACATGTGGAGAGAAGAAGACTGTACCACAAACAAAAAATAAAAGAGGAGATTGTTGGATGGACACGAGAGGGCAATTCCATTGGTACCACGATGTTCTTTGTTTTTGGTGGGGCGTCCGGTGTGGGGTTGGAGAGAGAATACATGTTAAGAAGAAGAAGAAGAATGGGACGGGAACCGTCTTCAGCACCGTTGAGATTATCCATAGACGAGAAGCCTCTATATCTCTCTCTCTCTCTCTCTCTCTCTCTAAATTGTCAGATAATTTACTCTCATTCGATCGTCTTCTACTGTGTGCCAAAATTAATGTTTCTTGTATTTTTCTTTTCGTTGTATCATCACCACACACGTCGGGTGTGAGAGAGACACCATGGTCTTGAATATTATGCACATCCATTGCAACGTGGAATAATCACTTATTTTTCTTTGTTTTACTGATGATTCAAGATTCCTACTCCACAAAAATGATTCATCGTGCATCAACCAACCCATTTTGGCCCTACTCAATCTTGTCACTCGACGCTGAAGTCTTCCCCTCACCCTCACCCTAATCAAGAATCCAAGAGTTCCGAAAACAAATACATCATATGTATATCAATCCAATTTAAAATGTTAGAAAAACAACTTTTAATAATATAATCTCTTAGTATAGCATTAAAATCCGTCGACTCACTTTTATAATAATAATAATAAGCTTTGGATCTATGATCAAGAAAAATAATTCATCTATGTCATGTGTAAACCATGACGACATTCATTGGCCGCGGCCGATTAGATATTTATATGAATAAAATATATATATATATACATCGACCTCTCGCCAATCTCACCTACCGGCATTCTGCCAATTGACACTGGTGGCCCCAGAAGTGGGTCCCGGATGGGGCCCGCCCTCCAATAATTAGAGAATTGAGTAAAATCTTACCCGCGAAGTTCTTTATCCGCTCAACTTCGTGTCGGGAATCCCATCGTCGCCTGATCTCATTCGCACTGTAGGCGGAGGCTTAGCTTATCCCCGCCACCGCGGCAACAAGTTCTTATCCGCAAGGAAGTCACCTTCTGGACCGCGATGCTCTCTTGCTACGTAAAGCGTGGCATGCTCCTCGAGGACTCGGTCGCCTGGAAGAGCGTTGTTACCTGGACCGCCTAGCTCTTCGGCCACGTCCGTACAGAGATGGTGTCGAGGAACCCGAGGAGCTCTTCGAACGAATGCCCGAGTAGTACATGGGCCCGGCCCATGAACTGTTCCAGAGCCGAACGTGCTGTCCTGGAACACCATCCTGACCTCGCCTTGTTGAGAGTTGACGGGGCTCCTGCTATCTTTGATAGGATGCCGGGCTGGAATGCGGCTTCCTGTAAGGTGATGGCATCTTGTCATGAACTGAATCGAAGGCTCGAGGAAGCAGGTCTCGATCTCTTCTCGTACACATGCCTAGAAGGAACACCATATCCTGGAATATGATGATGACCGGTTTTATATACAGAATGAAGATTTGAGGAGGGAGCAACGGTCATCCTACAAGATGAACTGGTAAATTGTGGTCACTTGGACTAGGACGATCACGGATATGTTGATGAAGATGAGCAGAACGAAGTGGCTTCCAAGAGGTTCTTAGAGATGCTAATAAATGATATCAAGCAGCTGCTTTCACTGGAAAAAGTAGCAGTCCCATCGGATTGTTAGCAATACTATGTATCTTCCACTTTTATCCTTTGGACAGTCGTGCTCTGATGAAAATGGAAGCTTAGCAGCCAAGAAGCTCATGGAAGCAGACCCCAACAATGCCGGGAAGCAGACTCCCCTCCTGCCTACTCCGTCTCATAATCGAGCCTATTAGACTATTGAGAATGTTGTGAATATGGTGTCTATGACCCATAGATTTATGCTACAAGTCCTTATAGTTACAATAGTTATAATTATGTTTTGTCATCTCTTCTGGCTAATCAAATCATTTGAAGTTTCGAAATCAATGCAGCCACCAATTGCAGTTGAGAAAGTGAAGTCAGGCCGACCACTCTATCTTCCTAATATATTATTATGCAGTGAACACACATTGTAGAATAGAACAAAACTGTGAGTTGGATCGTATTTCCACAAATCACGACAGGTAAAATCAAGAATCGAATACGCAAATCTATACGTAAATTTTTATTTTCTTTCGTTTTGATGCTCATGCATGGATGATCACAGATACATCGGAATACTAGCGAAGGGGCGCGACGGCCGGGCCGACGAGGCGATACAAGCGCGATCCGGTGGGCTCCTCCGCCCGCCCGGCCATCGATGGCGATGGTGATGGTGTAGAAAGGGCACATGGGGCCCACCGAAACTGGCGTTGGCTTTCCGCTGAGATGGAGAACATACAATAAAATAAAAGCCACTTTTTTCCACGTGCTAATTGGGGCCTTTCTTACTTTGTGACCGCCACCCCCATTCCATAGATATTTCTCTTCTCTTATAAAAATCAAATATATATATATATATATTAATGCTTTCCTTATCTAAAATATTTTTATGATAGGTTCAATTTATTATTGATGGGTATGAGAGAGGAAATCAATTGCACGCACAGAATGCCTTCCACGTGCATGGCTCGTGCACTGTAGCCATTCCCGACGAGCTCCCTGCATCCGCATGTGCATGTGGTCCGTTTTCTTATCCATCTCTCTCTCTCTCTCTCTCTCTCAAGTACATCATTATTAATGAGATAAGATAAGCTGGCCATCGAATAGCTGCTCACTGTTGGTGGCAGCGAGGGAGATCTCACCAGTCGCGTCTACTGCAAAAGGTCCATTTCCCCCTCCTAATAATTCGTGTCGGAAGATCATGTGGATGCGTCAGCAGTACCACTTCACGGTGGCAAGGTGGAACACCGAATCTAATGACAGAGGGATGGAGGCAGCAATGCCTGCAACGCCTCCGAGCTGGCTCCACACAGTATCCTTCCTCCACGAACGGTCATAGCCACCCAGGCCCGCAGTATAGAACCCGGCCTCCCCGCCGCCTTTTCCCACCCCCCCCACCGCCTACTCCATCCCAATTCCCGCTCCCCCTTCCACCTCCCGCGATCAAGGCACAGCCAGGGCTCGCAGATGTCGGGTGTGTGGGTGTTCAAGAACGGCGTCCTGCGGCGTGTGGAGAACCCGAGCGGCGGCGAGCCCGGCGGCGGTCTCCGTCGTAAGGTTCTGGTCCACCTCCCCACCGACGAGGTGGTGACCTCGCTGGCGATGCTGGAGAGCGAGCTGGCGGAGCTGGGATGGGAGCGGTACCCGAGCACTCCCGACCTGATCCAGTTCCACAAGCGCTCCTCGGTGCACCTCATCTCCGTGCCCCGGGACTTCTCCCGGTTCACGTCCGTGCACATGTACGACATTGTGGTCAAATGCAGGACCGTCTTCGAGGTGCGTGATGCATAAGATATACACACACAGGTGTATATCGGATGGTGATCATGCCGACGTCGTCCTCGCTAGAGGTCGATCACTAAGTCTGCATGGTGTTAAGAAAGCCTGGTGGTGGTGTAGCCGCTGCTGTGCTGGTTCGGATTGTGCTACTACTGTTTGATGTTTAAGCTGTTTCCTGCATGTCATTGTGCTTCCTATTTGGTGCTTCCTACTTGTTTGGTGTCTTTGTGTGCGTGTGTCTCTATATATATATATATATATATATATATATTCTTTATTTTTTGTCTATTCTTTTTCTTGTCGACGGCATATATGCTTATTTG